TGCCCGCACCCCCAGGGCCTGCCTTCATGCTGCGTCTCCCGTGGCAAGAGCAAGTAATCACATGCAGTGAATCCTGTTAGCCCTAAAACCAAGCAGCTGTGAGGAAACCAGGGCTGGAGCAGGTGCTGTGGCTGAGAGGTACAGGGTGGGCAGGGGTTACAGAGAGGAAGCAAGGAAGAGAGCACCCTGGCAGTGGTGGGGCAGATGCCTTGAGAGGATGGAAGGCCAGGGCAGTGATTTAGGGCTCCAGCAAAGGCAGAGTGGGGGTATGGACGGGGATGGATGGTGGGGAGAAAATGAGCTAAACATAAACAGGTGGGTCGGGTACGAGGACTCATGCCTGCAATCCCAGCACTGTGGGAGGCCGAGGTGGGCGGATCACCTGAGTCAGATGTTCGAGACCAGCCTAGTCAACGTGGAACCCCGTCTCTACTAAAAATACAAAAATTAGCCGGGCGTGGTGGCACAGGCCTGTAGTCCCAGCTACTCGGGAGGCTGAGGCGGAAGAATTGCTTGAACCCGGGAGGCAGAGGTTGCAGTGAGCCCAGATTACACCACTGTGCTCCAGCCTGGGGACAGAGCAAGACCCCGTTAAAAAAAAAAAAAAAACGATTACCAGGGGTGGTGGCACATTCCTATAATCCCAGCTACTCAGGAGGCTGAGGCAGGAGAATCGCTTGAACCGGGGAGGCAGAGGTTGCAGTGAGCTGTGATCACACCACTGCACTCCAGCCTGGGCAACAGAGCGGGACTCCATTTCAAAAAATAATAATAAAATAAAATAAAGGATGGACTAAACAAAAAGGCCCAGGACAAGAGAGGAGTCCAGTGGTTCCTACTTAGTCAGGAAAATGGACAGTGGGGTCATGGTGCAGACTGGACACTTCCCCATCACAGACGGTTCGCCTGGCAGGCATGCCCTCCCCTTATTCACCTGTCAACTTCCTCCTCCTGCTGCAACCCCAAATCACAAATGGTGCCTCCTCCTGGAAGCCTTCTGGATTCCTCTCTGCTGTCGCCGTTTGCTCCCTTCTCTGCGCTCTGCAAACTATACTACAGCAACATCATCATCTGGTTCTTATTGCGCAGGTCTGTTCCGGCTCTCCCAGCTCTCCCACCACTGACTGCGAGTTTCTGAAGCCCTGGGAGCTGCCTTCAGTAGAGGAGGCTCAGCCGCTGTGGGTCGATCTCTGAAGGCCAGGCCAGAAGGAGAGAAAATGTGGCACGGCTTGGCAGTTCCCAGGTGCGCACGCTCCGCAGGAGCTGGTGGTAGCCGGGCAGTCTTGGCTGAGACTTATTTGCTGAGCTTGGGTGCGCACAGGCCCTGCGATGTCAACCTCCTGGTCCCGCCCTCCCGCCGCAGGGCCGCTCACAAGCCTTCGACTCTTCCCGGACTCCAGACCCCAGACAGCTCCGCTCCACCCTGCGGATGACGGAGAGAAAGTTCCTTACAAGACCCTCACTTGGGGCAAGGTAGGAGGTACCAACTGGGGCGGGGCCTGGCTCCCCACTGAGCAGAGGTGTTGGCCAAGGCCCTCCCCCTAGTGGTAAGTACTCCCTTGGTTCGCCCTCCTAGCCGCTGCCAGACGACCCCGCCCCACGTCGGAAGCAACCTCGGAAACCTGCCTACCTGTTTCATGCCCGCCCCCTACAGCCTTTCCTCTCGGCAGCCCAGGGAGCTTTAAAAATGCAAACCACAGGCGGGCACGGTGGCTCACACCTGTAATCCCAGCACTTTGGGAGGCCGAGGCGGGTGGATCACGAGGTCAAGAGATCGAAGAGATCGAGACCATCCTGGTCAACATGATGAAACCTCGTCTCTACTAAAAATACAAAAAATTAGCTGGGCATGGTGAATATTAACTGGGCATGGTGGCACGTGCCTGTAATCCCAGCTACTCGTGAGGCGGAGGCAGGAGAATTGCCTGAACCCAGGAGGCAGAGGTTAACGATGAGCCGAGATCGCGCCACTGCACTCCAGCCTGGGTAACAAGAGCGAAACTCGGTCTCAAAAAAAAAAAAAAAAAAGAAGACGAAATGTGTACTTGTAGTTTTTGGAGCAGATTCCTCCCCAACAAAGGAACAGGGCAGCTGGGAAGATATAAGAACTTGTGCCGCACCTCTTGCCTTCCAGTGACATATTTTGATTGGCAAAAGGGTTTGTTTTTGTTCATTTTTACCTGATACTCCTATAGCCACAATAATAGTAGTGTAAGACAGTGACCCACCAGTTTGGATCATATGCCACCACTAGGTATTGCATGGGGGTAAACCGCATGATCTTTATAGACCGTTCTCCAGTCTGGGCCAGGTTTTAGACTCTGGTTTAGCTCTATCTTTTTCTTGCTCTCTTGCACGTCCTCCTCCATCCTTTCATTATCCCCGCTTTTCTTTCGACTAAGGCAGGTGCTAGTAAATCTGCCTTTTCCTTTGCCTCACGCCTTGCCCTTCTCTTAGCCCTGGTCCTGTGCAGGGAGGGCACAAAGCAGCAGAGTGTCTGCAACCCACCTGCCACCTTTCCAATGCTACTACAAGATTTGCAAGAAGCAAGAAATGGTCATTTATCAGAATGATAAATTTATTTTTATATTTTTTAATATAAAGTGCTGCAGGCTCCGACGTTGCTCCTGGGCGTCTCAGGTTTCAATTTTCCTGGACCTCAGGGCCTTCGTCCTCTCCAATCTAAATGCAGAGACATTTGACGTGAACATGTTTTGCAATACGTTCTTATTGACTCTGGTCACCCTGCTGTGCACTAGAGTCAAAACCTCTTCCTCCTGTCTAGACTTTGGTCCTTTGACCAATACCCCCGCATTCCCTCCCTCTGCCACTCTCCGGCCCCGGATCACCATCCATCTACTGGCTACTTCAATGGGGTCAACTTGTTTAGATCAACACTTCCGGGGCATCACGTGGAATCGGTCTCTCTGAGGTGGTGGAGATGCCGAGTAGTGGGATTTCCTCATTCCACGGTGCACACATCTATCTAATCCTCACACTGCACCCCATGAATGTACAGGCATGATTTGCCAATTAAAACAATACTAATAAAGACAGAATAAATATAGTAAAATGCAAGAAGTGCGGCTTCACCACCCACCTACTTACTTTTTCTCTTGGGTGGGCCCTCTTACTCTGCCTCTTGGGTGGGCCCAGGCAGCAGCAGCATCTCCTTATTATGGCAATGCACCTTCGGGCAGCCCTGCGGCAGCTCCAGCCTCTTGTTGGCTGGGCCAACACAGCCTCGGGCTGCCCAGCTTGGAGGACGCTGCCTTCGTGTGCTGGTTGTTGAGCCACGGTGCTCTGGGTGGTGATCTGGGTGGAGGTGGCCGTGAGGTTATGCGGGAGGGCTGGTTGAGCCAAAGTTTCTAAATTTTCACTGCCGGTGGAGCACTTGGTGGAGGCTGCAGACACGAGGTCACGCTGGGGGGCTTGCTCTGCCAAGGTTTCTAAAGCACCACCACCGCCTATGGCGCTTACAGTGGAGGAGGCCACACGGTCACACTGGAGGGCTTGCCGTGCCAAGTTTTCTACATCTCCACAATTGCGCTCGATGGTCAGGGAGGCCGTGGGGGCATGCTGGGGGTCTGACTTCCTGTGAAGGCCGGCAGGTGAACTGGAAATCTCAGTGACTAAACATGTAGGATCCCCAGGAGCAAGAGACTGTGGAGTGGTAATGGATGGCTTTTTTTCTCCATCTACAATACAGTAGGTGGCCATGGGATAATTAAAGACGTTGTCTTCGATTGCCTGTACGATGTTTTCTGGCTTCAATCCCATGGCCACCAAGAGCCTTACGGTCTCACAGTTCAGGTGGTCTTCAATCGGCTCTTCATACGTCGCTGGAGGCAAGTCCTGGCCGTTGTTCACCCACGGGTCCCTCAAGACTTTGTCTACTGTCGGCCGCTCATTGGGATTAGATATCAAAAGGTTTTTAATTAGGCTTTTTAGGCCTTCTGAAAAATAGTGCCGAATAACATACTGGCCAGATAGAATGAGGGATATCAGTTGGAAACGACTCACTGCGAAGAAGGGCAGACTGTTGGACACCATCTGGTATAACGTGACGCCTAGGCTCCACATGTCCATGGCGGGACATTCATAGCCCTGGGCCCCAAAGAGTTCTGGGGCCATGTAGGGGAGGGTCCCATGACCTGCTCTCAGCCTCTGCCCCTCATGGTAAATCGTGGCTGATCCAAAATCGGAAATTTTTATATGTCCTTTACCGTCTAACAGCATGTTGTCAGGTTTTAGGTCTCGGTGAGCGATTTTTCTTTTGTGGAGGTAGCTCACGGCGGACAGCATTTGTTGGAACATGCCTCGGGCCTCCTCCTCCTTTATGATGTTTTTTTCGAGCCAGTCGGCCAGGCTTCCCCCTTCTGCGTATTCTAATACCAGCTGGCACGCCTCTCTGGTATTAATGATCTGGTAAAGCCGAATGATGTTACTGTGGCTCACCGACTTTAAAATAGTCATCTCTCTGTGGCTAGAGAGGAAGCCGGTTCTGTTGATTGTTTTCACCGCCACCCGGGTGCCAGTTATTAAATGCCGGGCCAGCGTGACCTCGCCAAAGGCACCACGGCCTATGAATTTCAGTATTTGATAGTAAGGTGGCCGCAGGGCAGGTGAGGTGGAGGCCACTCCCTGCTTCATGGTATCTCTAGACACACTATCCAAGTAACTAACTCTACAGTAAACAACACTACTTACTATCCCAAATACACTAAAACACTAAGCAATACTAACTATATTAACTATGCTAACAACGCTACCCAGAAAAAACAACGCCCCTCCCACAAAAACTCCCCCCACCACCCCAAACAACTCGTAATCGCTAAGCTGGTCTGAGTCCACAGGTCACCAAAAAAGCTTCCAGGGATTTCTCAGACCAAAAACCATGACCCAGCCAGGGCCTTATATAGGCCTGTCTGTTATGACATCACAAAGGCTTTTCATGAGCTCAGAGCAAAGCAGGGGCCAATCATGGCTGGGGATCTTTCACAGAGGTGTTCTCTCTTTTGGTCCTCAAAACATCTTCCTCTTTTAAAAAGTAAGTGCGTTTGTCTAGATGGATTATAGAGATTGATATTTCGTTTCCCAGCTATTTAAACTGGTACAACGCTTCAACAGCATTTTCATTTGTAGTTTCTTTTTCTATCTTTATTGAACTCTTAAGTTCTGGGGTACATGTGTAGATTGTGCAGGTTTGTTACATAGGTTTAACGTGCCATGGTGGTTTTCAATCATTTGTAATTTCAAAATCTGAAATAGCTTTTGGATTTTGAAGATCTCCTCATGTCTACATGCAAAATATTCAATTCCTTTTCTTTCATCTCTCAATGGTTGATCTCAACCATTGAGAAGGGAGAGAATATCTTCCTTTCCTTGTAGGGTTTTTCCTTCCTCATGTGGTTGAGATTATGTAATGGACACAGAGGAAACAGACATACCCTACCCTCCATGAGCCCATAGCCTCTTCAGGAAGGCCCCCCAGCCATGAAGCTCCTTCAGCGTGAGAAGCACCAGGTGAAGTGGGGGCCAGAGAAGAGTGGCCTGGGCCTCAGGTCCGCGCTGGTGAGGGAAGAAGTGGGGCTCTCTGGAGGCCAGTGTGCTGAGCCCTGCAGTGTGAGGAGGGGTCACCTAAGTGAGTAGGGACAAGGGCAGGAGGGTAGCCTCTGTGAAGGCCCAGGATGATCGAGGGTGGCTCTCTGGAGGGATGCACTAGTCTGAACGAGTGACAGGGGCCAGGTTGGGAGGGATTGAGTCCCGCTGCTCACAGCACCCCCCCAACCAGTCTACATCTCTGCAGCTCTCTCACCACCCTCCCTACTTCATTGATCTCCATTGCACTTAGCAACATCTGACATTTGCATATTTCACTTGCATATTTCTTTGTCAGACTCTTGCATGTAAACTTCACGAAAGCAAGTGTTTTACATGTTTTATTTACAGTGGTATCCACAGTACCTAGGACAATGGATAGATACATAGAGGACACTCGACTAATATTTCAATGAATAAATGAATGTTTGAATGAGAAGAAAACTCAGTATCAGAGTGAAACAAACAAGAAATTACTAAAGTGAATTGATGAGAGCTTTTTGGGGGAAATTTTCTCGTTCCCGGGACGTGGCGTGTGCACGTACACACAGCCAAGTAAATGCTATGGTGAAATTAGACTTACTTTCTTACATCTTCAGGCTGTCTCATAAAGTATTTGAGACTCTAGGTTTTTAGCAATAAACTTGCTGATGCAGCTGAGTTATAATATGGCAGAATGGATTTGGGCACTAGTGTTATGCTTGAAATGTAACAATGCGGTTGGTTTCTAAAGGAGTAGTTGGTGACATGGTGAAATCACTGGTTGCCCCGATAGGATAAGGCCAGCAGCCCCTGTGATCTAGCCATGTTGATAAGGATAAGGATTCCACCCAGCTGTTTTCTTTAGGGAGCTGCCCTGGCTATCTCCCTATAAGAGCCTAAAGAAACAGTACAAGCAGCCACCATTTCACCAGCCAGGACTGCTCCTGGAAATGCCATCTCCCACTGGGCAATAAAGGACTCCACTTTTTTCAGGATCTGCCTGTGCCCAACCCTTATCTAGAACAGAAAGAAACCATAACCCATAATTTCCCCCGAGGATTCCAACACCTCCCCACTCACTCCCCTATGAGTCTCAGGAAGACAGGTTTGTTTTCCTGTGAGAATCCGTGTCTCTTTGCAAAAGGTCTGTTTTCCCAAAAGAAAAGGAATTTGCTTCAGTTCTGCTTCTGGAACTAGAAAGCCAGGTCTTCACCAAACTCATGTACAAAGGGATAAAGTCACAGTTGCCATGACCTCACACTAACATCAACAAATACTTACTGGGTGTAGGACATTGTGCTAGCTGCTGTGAGGGAAGAAGAATGGATATCTTTGCAAAGATCTTAAAAGATACAGACTCATTTTCCATTAAAAACTAATTACTTGGCCAAGCATGGTGGTTCATGCCTGTAATCCCAGCACTTTGAGAGGCCGAGACAGGAAGATCCCTTGAGCCCAGTTCAAGACCAGCCTGGGCAACATGGTGAAACCCCATCTTTACAAAAAATACAAAATTTAGCCAGACTTGGTGACTTGTGCCTGTGGTCCCAGCTACTTCAGATGCTGGGATGGATGGATCACTTGATCCAGGGAGCTAGAGGTTGTAGTGAGCTGAGATTGTGCCACTGCACTCTATCCTGGATGACAGAACAAGGCCCTATCTCAAAAAACAAAATATACTAAGCACTGAGCTCTGTGAGGTCGTCAGTATCATCAAGAGGCTTAGCTTTGTATGAGCTCCATTCTGAGAACCTGGGAGGGTTGAGTCTGTGCCAATATCCTGCTGTGCTGTGGGATGGAGCCAAGCCTTGACCTTTTGGTTTGCCACCAGAATAAAGCTGCAGATAGAAAATGTGGGGGGGAGAGTGGAAGAAGGAATCTCAGAGGGGAAGAAAGGACCTCCAGCTTCAATTTGAGACAATTTTACAAGAAACGTAATGAAGGCTATGCACCACATTCAGGTGTATTCCAGATCAGGGGTTGGCAAACCGTGACCCACCCCAGCTTTTGTATGTACCGTTTGATGGGAAGGCAGCCACCATTCATTTTTTTCTTGTTATCTATGATGCTTTTGTGCTTCAGAAGTAGAGCTGAGCAGTTATGATACATACCGTACGGCCCAAAAGTTAAAACTATTTACTATCTGGTCCTTTACAGAAAACGTTTACCAACCTTTGGTTTCGAACATGAACAAGAGTTCTGCCAGTCTGACGTGTACTTTTGATCAGACGAGTAAGGTTACTCCAGGGATTTCCAGCTGTTTCCTTCCTACCTATTTCCCCTCTTTGAAATTGCCTGTAATTCCCCCAGCTGCACTCTCCTGTAACATTAGGCCGAGAGATGGAAGGCTGTGTGCACTTGGAGCTACACACATCTGTGCAGTGGGTTACATGAAGGGGAGATTAACACCAGCTTCCTTTTTTTAAGACAGGGTCTTGCTCTGTCACCCAGGCTGGAGTGCAACGGCATAATCATGGCTCATTGTAGCCTCAAACTCCTGGGCTCAAGCAATCCTCCCACCTCAATCTCCCGAGTAGCTAGGACTACAGGCATGCACCACCATACTGGGATAATTTTTTAATATTTTTCTTGAGACAAGGTCTCACTGTGTTGCTCAGGCTGGTCTGGAACTCCTGAGCTCAAACAATCCTTCTGCCTTGGCCTCACAAAGTGCAGGTATACAGGTATGGGCCACCGTGCCTGGCCAACACCAGCTTCTTTAGAAATGAAAGACCATGTGAATACATTTTAAGAAAAGCAGTTTCCTGTATTCTTCTGTAAACATTGAGAATTTATTTTATTTTTCCTCCAATGGCCTATGTGTTTGATCAATAATCACAGTAATTTTCATAACATTGTATGGTTTGGCATGACATAAGTAAAAATAAACCCAGAAGCCATCATTCTCAGCAAACTAACACAGGCACAGAAAACCAAACAGCGTATGTTCTCACTTAGAAGTGGAAGTTGAACGAAGAGAACACTTGGACACAGAGAGGGGACCAACACACACCGGGGCCTGTCGGAGGTAGGGGGCGAGGGGAGGGAGAGCATTGGGACAAATAGTATTGTAACCGAGGTTTAAAACCTAGATGATGGGTTGACAGGTACACCACACCACCACGGCACACGTGTATCTATGTAACAAACCTACACATTCTGCACTTGTATTCCAGAACTTAAAATAAAAATAGCTAACATGTATTGAGCTCTTACTAAATGTCAGTCCCCATTCTAAGAGTTTTATGTGAGCTGTCCTATTGAATCCTCATTATTGCCGCAAGAGATAAGGACTCTCATCACCGTCATTTTACAGATGAGCAAACTGGGGAGGAGAGGGGTTAAGTAATTTGCCCATGGTCAGACACACAGTAAGTAGAGAAGCAGGGTTTCAAACCGCTCCTGCGCCATGACCTTGGCCACTACATTCTGTACCGCTTGCCTCAAGAAATGTGAAAATAAACAACTAAAAAATCTAATTGGGAAGTAAATTCTCATCAGACATGCAACATTTAAGTATTTGTCAAGTGCTAATACCAAATGCTAATACGGAAGGACAATGTTAATTTTTATCTACATTGATCTATGATTTTTCAGATAAATATCTTGAAACTACACTTTTAAAACCTGTAACTTTTAGTAATTTCTATTCTCTTCTGGGTCTTTATTGGACTTTGATTTCTTTCTTTCTTTTTTATTGGGAAGCGTTTCTAAGTCAATCTTATCAAACTCAACTATATAAGATTGTCATAAACTAGTGATTTTCTTCTCATTACATCTGAGACGCAGACAGTGAGAAGAAGCAAGACAACTACAATCTTTGTTTTTATATTTTATTTAACTATATTTGCCAAGATACTTGCAAAGCCTGTGGAGGTCTAGGAACAGCATCTCCAGTCAACAATGTTTCCTTTCTTGCGCTTCAATCTCTAGTGATTGATCAGGGGCCTCCAAGTAGCAAGTTCTTCTTTGTTTGGGGAAGGGATCAGTGAACAATGTAACTCGTTCCTGACATTTCAGTTAACAACTTTGAAAGAAAAGGTTTTTAAAATCCAATGAAACTCCTAAAAAATAATTGACTTTGCTTCTGCCCCCATGTTCTCCTCCAAAGAATCACACCTGAAAGTTTCCAATGATTCCACCAGCGAATTTCCCTCCTGTTTTAATTAACATTGTAGGGTGGAGGTCCTATACCCTGGAGACTTTTATATCTGTGTTTGATGTTACAACAAATAGAATTTGAAAAAAAAATATATATATATATATATATATTTTTTTTTGAGACGGAGTCTTGCTCTGTCGCCAGGCTGGAGCACAGTGGCACAGTCTTGGCTCACTGCAACCTCCGCTTCCTGGGTTCAAGCAATTCTTCTGCCTCAGCCTCTCAAGTAGCGGGGACTACAGGCGGGTGCCAAATGCCTGGCTAATTTTTGTATTTTTAGTAGAGCTAGGGCTTCTCCATGTTGACCAGGCTGGTCTTGAACTCCTGACCTCAGGTGATCCATCTGCTTTGGCCTCCCAAAGTGCTGGGATTACAGGCATGAGCCACTTTGCCCAGCCAGATTCAATGCACTCTCTATTAAAATACCACTGGCATTCTTCATGCAAATAGCAAAAAATGACCGGGTGCATGGTGGCTCATGTCTGTAATCCCGGCACTTTGGGAGGCCGAGGTGGATGGATCACTTGAGGTCAGGAGTTCAAGAGCAGCCTGGCCAACATGGTGAAACCCTGTCTCTACTAAAAATACAGAAATTAGCCAGGCATGATGGCGTGCCTGCTTGTAGTCCCAGCTACTTGGGAGGCTGAGGTGGGAGAATCACTTGAACCCAGGAGGTGGAGGTTGCAGTGAGCTGAGATTGTGCCACTGCACTCCAGCCTGGGCAACAGGGTGAGACTCCAGTCCCCCCGCCACCAACCCCCCGTCAAAGAAAAAAGAGAAAGATATATTGTTCAGCATGGTGACTATAATTAATGAAGAAATATATTGAAAAATACAGACTAGTTCGAAGGTAGTGAGTTATCGCAACTGGTTGTTGAGTCAATTGTGGATTGAACTTTTTGTTCTACTCTTTCCCTGCTTCTTACTGCTGCATTTGACTAGTCTTAAAGAGAAGGAAAAAGGAAAAATAAAGAAAAATACATAGAGGACATTCAGTGTTTCCACTACAAAAATGAAAAATAACTGTTAAGTAGTGCTTTTGATGATTCACCAATGAACATATACTTGAAATGTTATGTTTCAAAAAAAAAACAAGAAATGTTGTACATGATAAATACATATAGTTTTTTTCTGTCAGTTTGAAACATTTAGAAATTAAAGAATAGATAATGTGAAACACAAGCTATTTATGTAGGTAGTTTAAAATTTTTTAGTAGCCAAATTAAAGAACCAACTCAGGAGACTGGTGAAATTAGTAATGTTTCTTTTTTTTTTTTGAGACGGAGTTTCGCTCTTGTTACCCAGGCTGGAGTGCAATGGCATGATCTCAGCTCACCACAACCTCCGCCTCCTGGGTTCAGGCAATTCTCCTGCCTCAGCCTCCCGAGTAGCTGGAATTACAGGTGCGCACCACCATGCCCAGGTAATTTTTTGCACTTTTAGTAGAGACGGGGTTTCACCATGTTGACCAGGATGGTCTCGATCTCTTGACCTAGTGATCTACCCACCTCGGCCTCCCAAAGTGCTGGGATTACAGGCGTGAGCCACCGCGCCAGGCCCAATAATGTTTCTTACTTAACCTAATATCTGTGATGGACTGAATTTGCGTTCTTTTCCCTTGCCAAATTCATATGTTGAAACCCTCACTCCCAATGCGATAGTTTTAGGATGTGGATCTTTAGAGAGGTGATTAGGATTAGGTGAGGTCATCAGGGTAGAGTCCTCATGAATGGAATTGGTAACCTTACAAGAGTCACGAGGGAGCTTGATTCCTCTCTCTGCCCTCTCCCATGTGAAGATATGACTTCTGGGCAGTGTGCAGCCCAGAAGAGGGTCCTCACCAGAACCCAACCATGCTGACATCTTGATCTTGGACTTCTGGCTTCTGGAACTGTGAGAAATAACTGTGCGTTATGATAAACTACACACAAAAGGTGAACAGAAAACCTGTCTGTGATGACGAGTACTTGGGATGCTCCCCCTCCTTGCTATCAGGCTCAGCCAGGATGGTCTTTATGTGAAGAGGAACGTCTGAGAGATGAGGGAAAGGTTGGGAGACAGGGGAGGGCAGCGAGGTGAGAAGGGCCAGCCTTGGGCAGGGAGGGTGAGGGCAACATGGGAGAGAGAGGAGAGGTGGGTGGGGAGGTGGTGAAAGGGGTGCGACCTTGATGGACGGGATACAAAAATGAGGAACGTAGGAAGCTCTGTGCTGCCCTGGCGATGCCAGGCCTTCTGCCTCCTCCTCACAGACATGACCTCCAGGGGGCTCTGGAGCCAGACAGCCTGAGTGTGAGCTGTGACTCACCACTGATGGCTGTGTAACCATGGGCAAGTTCCTTTACTTCTCTGTGCCACTGTTTCCCCAGCTTTACAACAAGAGTAACTAAAGTAGCTAAAACAAGGGTTGTCGTGTGGCTCAAATAAGTGATCAGGACAAGTGCTTAAAACAGTGCCTGCTACTTGGCAAGCATTTAAGAAGGGTGTCTGATGTGACTATTTTTTATTTTTATTTTTTAAAACAGAGTCTTTCCCTGTTTCCCCTTCCCCAGCTGGGAGCACCACCACGCTGGAACTAGCTCCCTCCCAATGCTTGGAGATGGGTGGGATGGACTCCCAGCTCCCCAAGGAGGGACAGTCCTGGGGCATCACCCTGGGGTCAGGGAAGGCTAGGTAGGAGTTCAGGGGCTCAGGGGGAGGAGGTGCAAGGGCCAAGGTGATATTCAAAATGTTTAACAACTGGTTCAATACAGGTCCTGACTTTGTCACTGGAGAATGTCTTGGGGGCCTCCCATGGTACCAGGAGTCATTCCCATTGTTGCTAGAGTGGGCCAAATTTGGGAGGATCCCAGAGAAGAGCTAGGGGGCTAGGGCCTCAGGGAGGTGACAGTTACCAACAGGTGCAGGAATAGTTCAGTATTCTTACAACCAGCAGACTTTTGACCCAGGCAAGGGAGGAGGGAGGGGCAGGCACTGGCCGCGGAGGGCGTTCGGGCCCACCTGGGCTCCCGGTTCTTGCGCACAAGGCTGACAAAGGTCTCCACCTCAGTCTTGGTGATGTGCTTCTCCAGGAGCTTGCGGTTGTTGTGCAGCAGGGCAGTGATGGTGTCCTCCGCCAGGATGTCGTAGCCAATCTGGGACTGCATCATCCCAAACTGCTTGGCGATGTGCTCCTGGGGGGCAGACAGGCTGGGGGTCATAGAGAGTCACGGGCGGAGCTCGGGGCCCAGCTCTGCTCTGGAACACTGCCCCCAGACGCCGAGGTAGGGACCCAACACCCTAGAAAGGCAGAGGTCCAGGAGAGGAAGCAGCACTGGGCAGAAAAGTGGCTTAGACACATAGTTATTTCGCTTATGGGCTGTTTCCCACCAGGGCGAAACCTCCGCAAGGACAGGGTCCTTATCTGTCTGGAAGGATTGGCGACATAACTTGTAGGGCCCAGTGCAAACTGAAAGAGCAGGACCCTTGCTCAGCAACAGAGCATCTAACCCAGTGCAAGGCCCTTGCGAGCACCAGGCCAGGTCCCATTCCCATGAACCCGGCCTTGCTGTCTGGTGCCCTAACGGACCCCAGGCCCCAAAACAGTGCCTGACACAGCACATACGCCCGAGGGAATACTTGCTGGGGAAATAAGGTATAGCCAGCGAGTGGGCAGTGGGCAGCACTCACCTGGTTCTTGCGGTAGTCCTCCTGGGAATGCCGCAGCACGCGGTAGCACAGGCGGAACATGTGCTGGTAGGGGGCGCTCTTCTGGTCCGACAGCTCCTCCAGCCGAACCAGGGGACCTTCACCCCGCTTCTCGCGGAACGGGGCCTTCAGAATGCCGAAGATCTGGGGGAACACAGAGGATGACGACTAATTGCCCCACACCCATCTGTACCCTTAAGTCATCCCACAAGCCCTGAGCCCCTGCTGACTCTGCCCCAAAGCCAGCCCGGACATCAGCCTTGAGCTGATTTTTTTTTTTTTTGAGACATATTCTTGCACTGTCACCCAGGCTATAGTGTAATTTCGTGATCTCGGCTCACTGCAATCTCCACCTTCTGGGTTCAAGCAATTCTCCTGCCTCAACTTCCTGAGTAGCTGGGACTACAGGCATGCCTCACCATGCCCAGCTAATTTTTTTGTATTTTTAGTAGAGATGAGGTTTCACCATGTTGATCAGAATGGTCTCCATCTCCTGACCTCATGATCCGCCTGCCTTGGCCTCCCAAAGTGCTGGGATTACAGATGTGCGCCACTGCACCCGGCACCTCAAGCTAATTCTAAGCTGGACCACAACCCCAGCCCAGCCATCCTCAGCCCCAGTTCCAGCCCCAGCTCTCCCCAACTCCTTGTTGGAATCCCTAAGCTAATCCTAGCCCATGCCTCCCTAATTTGGATTCTAATCCCAGCTCAGATCTGGGGCCTAGGGAAAGAGCAGAGGGTCACTGCAGCTCAGGGTCTGAGGCTAAGAGAAAAGGGGGGCCAGGCCGCTGTGGCCAAAGCTTAAGAGATGAGATGGGGGCCGGGCGCGGTGGTTCACACCTGTAATCCCAGCACTTTAGGAGGCCGAGGCAGGTGGATCACGAGGTCAAGAGGTCGAGACCATCCTGGTCAACATGGTGAAACCTCGTCTCTACTAAAAACACAAAAAATTAGCTGGGCATGGTGGCACGTGCCTGTAATCCCACTACTCAGGAGGCTGAGGCAGGAGAATTGCCTGAACCCAGGAGGCAGAGGTTGCGGTGAGCCAAGATCGCGCCATTGCACTCCAGCCTGGGTAACAAGAGCAAAACTCTGTCTCAAAAAAAAAAAAGAGATGAGAAACAGGCTTTCCTTGTCCAAGTAAAATGTTATATTAATTACAAAAATTGTTTAAAGGTGGGGGTTATGTGGAGAAGTGAAAGATTGTTCTGGAACAGAGACAGAGCAACAGAATGAAATGAAAAACCTTAATCGAATCCTCGTTTTTTTAAAAAAACAAGCTTTACAAAGACATTCTGGGAACATTAGAGAAATGTGCTATGGACTTGGTATTGCTAACATTTTCTTAGGTGTGATACTGTACTATGGTTACATAAGGCAATATCTCTATTGTTAGGGATGCATGCTGAAACTTTTGGGGGCAAAATGCTGCCTATTTTGAAATGTGTAGACGGCAAGATGGATGTGTGAATAGAACGACATAAAGCCAAGGCGGCAAAACAGCGACGCACCTTATTCCCTGTACTGTTCTTCTAATACATTCTCACTATTTGATTCTCACAATACAAATTTAGAAAAAAGATGTGAAGCACAGCTCTGGACCTCACATCCTGAGCTCAAATCCTGGCTGCTGCTTCCTAGCTGGGAGTCCTAGGCCAAATGAGTCTGGCCCGTGTCTCAGCTTCCTCACCAGCAAAACGGGGTAAGAATCACAGCACCTCCTCCAGGCAGTGAGGATCAAATTTGTCAACACACGCGGGGCACTTAGGGAAGTGCCCAGCATGGGGTCGTGCCCGGTAAATACTGATTTTTGTTGAAGGGAGTGCTGAGCCGGCAGTTCAAGGCATCCTGCTCCTGGCCACCCGGCCCCGCCTCGTCCCCTCCTGAGTGCACACGCACCTGTTTGAGGATGTTCTGCTCCCTCATCAGCTTCTGCCGTTCCCTGTTGGGCTTGGTGACCATGATGTCCAGGACATTCTGCCCATTGTTGGGGACATCGCTGACAAAGAACAACAGGTCTTCAAGCAGCTGGATGACAAACCTGGGTGAGGGGGCCGGGGATGACAAGTGTGAGATGCCCACCCAACAGGTGCCCCTCATGGGGAGCCAGTCCCTCCCAAAGCTTGGCTTTCCTGAGTTCACTCAGCAGCCCCCAAGGCACAAAACCCATCCTCAGCCTACACTCCTCTCCCTGGCTTTCCCCTGAATGTTCTCCAAATAGGCCCAGCCCCACCCACCCTGGATTCCAAAGTGCCCCCAAGACACAGAGTCTCAGAACATTCCAGCCTGGAAGGGAAGTGCAGGGCACAAGGTGAGGAGTTTGGTGTGGAGGGGGCTGCATTTGCATCCTGACTCTGCCACTTACTAGCTGTGTGACCCTGGGCGAGTCTCGTGACCTCCCTGAACCTCAGCCCCGTCATCAGTAAAGCAGGGCTAACTGGCCTCAAGACCAGGCTCAGCACAGTGACCAGCTCCATCATAGGGGTACTTCTGGGAGTACCTGAGCTGTGAGGCGAGTCCCAACCCCAGGGTCCCAGGCTCAGCCAAGGCCCACAGGGCCAGCCCCTCCCTCTCTCTCCTGCCCCAGCCCAATTTGCCCAGCTTCTGCTTCATGACTCCTTTCTTCATGAAATGCAGGCCCTGGGAAGGCAAAATCACTCAGAAAACCTCTGTGCCACTGCGGCCCACCTGCGGTCATTCTGGCTGATGAAGCCCTCACTGAGTTTCTCCACGGCACTAGCCAACATGGAGCTGGCGTCATTAGCAAAGTCCAGGTCTCGGATCTCGGACACGGGCACCGACACAATGGCAAAGGCCTCCTTTTCCTCCTTGGTGGGGCAGGTGCCCAGCTGCAGGGACAGGGGTCAGCAGGGCACCTGAGAACGAGCTCCAGCCCTGGCTCTGGCCCCAGCCCCACTCCCACCGCCACCCCTACCCCCAGGGACCCCCACCATGAGCCGGATGGGCCGCTCCTCCTCAACGTCAATGGGCACGTTGGTGCTCTGGATCCATGTGTTGGTGCAGAGGTGCCGCAGCCAGACTGAGGAGTTCCTGCAGGTGGTGGGAGGGCGGGGACTCAGGGAGTGCACCACGAAGCCTGTCCTGCTGCCTGCCGGCCTACCTCCCCAGCACTGTCACAGCTTCCGCACTACTCCACACCCTCCACAGCTGTGGGACAGAGGCCACTGGTGCCCCTCCAGGTGAGGAGGCCAAGGCCGGAGAAGAGCAGGCAGAGCTAGCCCTGCGCCCAGGCCCTGTCCTGGCCACTGCACTCACACGGGCCTCGGTCTTGTCCACACTTCCAGAACCGAAGATCTCTCGGGCACCCGGTCAACTTGGGACCAAGATTCATTTGGACAAATGAGGCTATTTAACTATTTATCCCCTTGAATGTCAAGATGTACACATTTCATAGAAACACACGCATGACACAGAAATACTCAGTGTCTGTAATTACAAAATACAAGATTACCTTCTGAAATGAAAAACAATGTGAATACCAAATTCTTCTGTCCCTGAGTTTCAGGGAAGGGACTGTGGGCCTTTGTAGTGACTCAGTTAACTCTCCCGTTAGCCCTGTTAATAGGGAAACCTGACATTCCCACTGAAAAGATGAGGCAGAATGAGCAGCATCCTGACTGAAGTCACACAGCTTAGGAAATGCCAAAGGCAGGACTTGCACTGAGAAGTTTCTCGGGGTCTGTCCTAGGATCCCGGGATTGGCGGAATCTCAAAGGCCAGAGTCTGGCATCCCCACCCAGTGTTTGGGTTCCCCGTGCTGCTGTGTCCTGGACAAACTGTCATGCAGCCTGCGCTTGAGCACCCAGACCGACGGGCAGGAGCCGGGCACCTGGAGGTATGCAATGGTGGTCAGCTGCCGACAGACCTCAGAGCTGCATCCCCAGAGGGATGGGACCTGCAGAGACCCCAGAGGCCAAAGGACCTCAGGAGAGTGGAGGAGTACAGGATCCAGAGAGTCCCAGAGACAGGAGGGCCCAGCCTGAGCACCACCAGCCAACCCCCAGGCACACGGTGCATACCCACCGGGGCACCAAAGAGTCGGTTTTCTGCAATGTGGTGGGGTCCAGCTCAAAGAGAGAGGCGATGTCGTTGCCATGAGGCACGGCCACCAGGCGGTACTTGATCTTCTCCCCAGCATTCCTGTGGCCTGCATGACCCTGGGCCCCCTGGGTGAGGACCTCAGATCAGGTAGGAGACCCTCTCTCCTCTCAGGCCCCTGAAACACCTAGGATCCCATCTGAGGGGCTGTCTCCCTCCAGCCCACCTCCCAGGATCTCATGGTATCCGCTGCCCCCGCCTACCCCCATGGCAGCCCCAGGTCTCACTGGAAACCTGCTTTGCTCCTCACCATTCCTGCTGCCTTGGGATCCGAGGCATCACCTTTGTAGCTGGGGTTCTCCTAGACAGAGATACAAGATGGTGGGGGGAGCTACTGGACACCAAACTATACCCACGCAACCCCACTGCAAAACATGGTCATCTACATAGGGCCCTAGGTTTGGGCAGGCAGCCTCTACCCTCCCAGGGGTGCCCATGTCATTCCAGGGAAGCCCTTCATGGCCCCTCCCCATAGAACCACAAATGAACACACACACACCCCAATGCTCCCAACACACACAAATGTGTTCATTACAGACAGACAGGAAGTTTTGCTCACTCTGTATCCCCAATGCCTCAGATAGTGCCTGGCACATAGTAGAAGCACAGTGATATCTATTAGGCTTCTTCACAATCATGCCTTTATTTGATAATGTTGGTTAAATGCATGAGTGCAGAGAAGTCGGGGTCCATAGGCACATGTGCCACATATACAGATATGTGCACGAGTGCTCCTGCACACCCATGTGTACATGCATATAACATGAGCCCCCAAGATGCCCTCTGCCTCCCGCTCACCTTGGCAGCCAGGTAGTTGCCCGTGGCTAGGTGCTTGAAGTGGTACAGGCCATTCCAGTGCCCAGCTCCTCCACGGCAGGGGTCTTGGTGGACCACCTGGGGACATGCAGGGGTGAGGCAGGAAGGAGGGACTGGTCAGGCAGGGGTAGCTCAGACCCCAGAGAGGCCTGGAGATCTCTGCATAGGTGGGTTCTAGACCCTCCCTGGCCTTTTGACTCTGGAGGGGCTCAGAGGGAGGTAGAGTCAATATCCCACCCTCCAGGATGCTGGGGAAGAGGGAGGGGTGACATCCAGGGCTGAGTCCAGGGGGCCAGAAGCGGGGCTCTTCTGACCTCCACCTCCCAGAGAGCATTGGAGCTGGTGGCCGAGGTGGCAGACTGGCGCAGCGTAGTGCGCAGGAACACCTGCAGCTTGCCCTTGTACTCGTCACACGTCAGGAACTTCTCCTGCTCCGCATGGAACAGCCGCCCCACGTCTCCCTGCAGGCAGTGGGGTGTGGCTCAGGATGGCTGCAGCCCCTCCAGGCTCAAGGACTTGCCCAGGGCCCAGCCCCACCTGCCTCAAACATGAGTGGCTGCTGGCAGGACCCCTCTTCCAGAGCCAGCAAACAGAGTGGGGTGATGCAAGCTGAGGCACCCCAGAGAACAGCCAGAGCCCAGGCACTCTGCCCTCAGCCCTCAGCCCAGAGCCCTCACAGGACTTCCCATGTTCAAACTCACCCTGGATGGCCTCCCTCCCTATCTGTACCTCTAGACACCCTGCCTAACCTCTAACGGCCCATCTCCGGTCTCCCCCTCCATGAAGGAGGGGACCTCACGCCCTCAGTGTTCTCGGGCTGTGGCTGCCCTTATTCCTGGGTCCTTTCTGCCTAACTATGGGTAGGTTGTGCCCATGTCTTTTGCTCCCATGCTGGACTGGAGCAGCATGGAGGGCATCTCCATGGCTTTGGACACAGAGACCTAGTTTGGATCCTGTCTCCCCTTTTTTTTTTTTGAGACAGTATCGCTCTGTTGCCCAGGCTGGTGGAGTGCAGTGGCACAATCTTGGCTCACTGCAATCTCTGCCTCCTGGGTTCAAGCAATTCTCATGCCTCAGCCTGGCATGTAGCTGGGACCACAGGTGTGTGCCACCATGCCCAGCTAATTTTTTATATTTTTTAGTAGAGATGGAGTTTCGCCATGTTGCCCAGGCTGGTCTCAAGCCCTGAGCTCAGGCAATTCACCCACCTCAGCTTCCCAAAGTGCTGGGATTACAGGCATGAGCCACCGTGCCCGGCCTCTGTCTCTGCTCTTAAAAGCTGAGTTGTCTGAGCCTCAGTTGCCTCTTCTGTAAAATGGGAGTGCTACGACCTCCTTGCAGAAATTGTGAGGATTACAATATGCATGATGAAGTCACACTGCACACTCAGCCACTGTGCAGGCGCTTTACAAGGACCTTCTCACCGGATCCTCGCATCAACCCTCTGAGTAAATACATCATCAGCCCCATTTGATGGGTGGAGAAACTCAGGCATAGAGAAGGTAAATATCCTGCTGAGGGTCATGCAATGAACGGCAAATGGGACACGAATCTGTGGCTCAGTTCCAGGGCCTACACCTTCATCACTCCATCACCTTCCTCCCCTCGCGAGCCTGCTGTCCAGCAGGCACTCCATGCATGGCTGCCACTCCTGCTCTCATCGCTAATAGCATTTTCTGTCCTCCCTCCACTAAACACACACTAGACATTCAGTGGATACCCGCAGAGTGAATGCATTGGTGAATGCAAGAATGCATGAATAAATGACGATACACAGGTTGGGTCAGTTACTATGGCAGAACCTAGTGACTCTTGTGCCCCAGTAGTGCAGGGCAAGGGCAAAAAAGCATTGGACTTAGCACAAAAAAGCCTTGATTCTGAGCTGCCTTCGAACAATGGAGCCATGATCGATTCCCCAGAAACGATTCTATGTAGACCACAGAGTGAGGCCCAAGTGATGCTTCATATGATTTATTTATTTATTTTGAGACTGAGTCTCACTCTGTTGCCCAGTCTGGAGGGCAGTGTGGTGCAATCTCGGCTCACTGCAACCTCCACCTCCCAGGCTCAAGTGATTCTCCTGCCTCAGCCTCCTGAGTAGCTGGGATTACAGGTACCTCCCACCATGCCCGACTAATTTTTATATTTTTAGTAGAGATGGGGTTTCGCCATGTTGGCCAGGGCTGGTCTCAAACTCCTGACCTCAAGTGATCTACCTGCCTCAGGCTCTCAAAGTGCTGGGATTATAGGCTTGAGCGACCACACCTGGACGAGATGCTTCATTTCCTAAGTGCTGCACAGGTTCAGGGCTGGAACATTAGGAAGGGCTTCTGGGAGGGGTAGTGCATGGCTGGGCCTTGACTAATGTGTGGACAATGTGCAGGCTTAAGAGAGGGAGGGAGGGAGAAGGCATTGGGGTGGTGCATGGGTAGACCGGAAGCAGCCTGGGAGGTGGGAAGGATGAGGGTGGGCAACTGGGGCAGCTTAAGCAGGGCAGGAGAGTCTATCAGAGCAGCTCGGCCAGGGGAGGAGAGCAAAGGGAACCACCGCAGGCTTCTGAGCATGGAGGTGCATGAACACGCAGCCTCCTTAGGTGGCTGCTCTCGGGCCTCTCACCTGTCCCTCTGACAGGTTTCACTGCCAGGTGTTCCTGCCTGCTGCCCTACTGGAGAGCCTCACAATCTTTTGAGACAGAGTCTTGCTCTGTCGCCCAGGCTGGAGTGCAATGGCACAATCTTGGCTCACTGCAACCTCCGCCTCCCGGGTTCAAGCGATTCCCCTGCCTCAGTCTCCTGAGTAGTTGCAACTACAGGCACATGTCACCATGTCCGGCTAATTTTTCGTATTTTAGTAGAAACAGGGTTTCATCATGTTGGCCAGGATGGTCTCAATCACCTGACTTCGTGATCCACCAACCTCGGCCTCCCAAAGTGCTGAGAATACAGGTGTGAGCCCCCGTGCCCAGCCAGCCCTGCACTCTTTACAAATCTGCCTTCCCACAAGACCATCTACACCCCGTCTGCTGGTTCCGTCCCCCGGCAGCCCCACCTAAGAGACAACTGAACTCTCCTCTGTCGCCCACATCTGGTATTCAGGGTTTCTCGAATGGTCTCTCTGGTGGCCCCAGACAGCTCCTTCTGCCCTCAGTCCTGGACCTTCCCAAGTCTTTGCTGCAGTATTTCCCAGGCCCCCTTTCTCTCGCAGATCCCACACTAGCGTGTCTGGGACCAGGAAGGACACAAGCAGTGACCCCTAACTCAGCAGACAGGGCAGCCTCACTCCCTTGCTGAAGAGGGCACAGGGCGAGGGGCAGGGGGCCTGGCGTGGATCCAGGCAGCAGGAGTCAGGGAGAGGATGGTGCTCAAAGGCTCTGGGTTGGGGGGATGGAGACCCCCAATCTGACACCCCTTAAACAAGACAGAAAACATAGGCCAGGCAGGACCCAGAGAGGATGGAGAAGGGGGCTGTGGCCAGAGATGAGAAAAGGGGAAGTCCTGGTAGGGCCATGTGGGTGGGGCCCTGAGGAGGTTGCGGGAGGCTGGAGGGCACAGAGCCAGGGAGAGGGAAAGGGCCTGAGGCCTGGTGGGTGGAGAAGGCTGGAAGAGGGCCCTGGTGGGGAGGGCCGGGTGGCTAACTGGGCAGGTTAGGAACGTTCCAGTCCTTACCCCCTTCAACACCTCCTCCAGGTGGTCCCGGAACTGCATAAAGAGGTTGATCTTCCAGCTGGTGTTGCAGTTCACAGAGTTGACCTGGGAAAGGGGGACAGACCCATCATGCCAGGCAGGCCCCAGCCACTGAGGGCCCAGAGAGGAGCTGAAGGGAAGGACCAGCCTAGCCACCATTACAGCACAAGGACAGGTGTATTCTCATAGCCAGGGTCTCCAGACCCCAGCCTGGCTGCCTTGGGGCCACCAGCCTGTGGGGTGGAGATTGGGGGCAGTGTTGGAAAATGGAGGCAGGAGCCGTGAGACCCAGGTTGTCCAGCGGGTCAGATGGGGCTAGAGGCAGAGACTATGGTGGGCAGCGGGGTGTCTACACCACCAGGGGTGTGTGGACGCCCCTGCACTGCACAGCTGACCCTCCACCCGCTCACCTCCTTGCAGCCGGCGTTGTCGCTGAGCTCATAATTGCTGGCATGCAGAGGCTGCCCAGCGTTGACAGGATTCAGGATCACCTTGTCCCCCACAACCACCTGGGCAGACAGGCATGGCAGGTGAGGTGGGAAGGGCAGGGCCCTCCTGTCGCCACGCCTCCAGGCCTCCCTCTGGTCTCAGTCTGCCCTTCTAAGAATGGGCATGACCTTATCCAGTCTCCACAGCAAAGACCCTAGAGAAGTTCCTCCGAAGTTGTGCCCGGCACCTCCCACAAGGCCCCTCCAGCCCGGGCCCTGCCCTCACATTGTCCCTGTTGCTCCGCAGCTTCCAGAAGGGCTGGATGAAGAGCCAGGAGCCCTGGTTGCCCGTGGCATCCAGGCTCACCTGCATGGCGTTCTTCTCCAGCAAGGCCGGAAGCCGCTTGTTCACCGTCAGGTACTTGTTGCTCTTCATGTGCAGGAGCTGGGGGTCAGGTGGGTGCAGGAAGGTCACTGGGGGTCAGGTGGGTGCAGGAAGGTCACTGGGGGTCAGGTGGGTGCGGGAAGGTCACTGGGGCCCAGGGGCCGGCCCATCAGGGAGGGGACATGGGGGGATCCACTAGACCCTTGGTCACATCCTGGCTGCACACAGAGTGTCAGACACCTGCCACAAACACACAGGCTGACACCCACAGCCACAGCCACACACAAACATGCACACAACAGGCACACCCCCGTGGACACCCCAGTGATCACAGGAAAGAAACGGTTCTATGTACTTTACCTAGATTAGCTCAAGTCACCTACAACTATCGAAGAGGGAAGTACTATTACTGCCTGATTTCACAGATGGGGAAACCGAGGCACCAGGGGACGTTTAGTAACTTGCCCAAGTTAACTCTGCCACCATTAAGAGTGGCAGAGCCAAGATATGAACCCAGACAACGCAGCTCCAGACTCATGCTGATGACCACCATGCTGTCAACACACCCATGGCACAGCTACTCAGGCCACACAGCAACAGGCATACACACAGTCAGACGCATAGCCACACAGCTGGCCCCAGGGCCACTCATTAGGATACACACATGTGCAGAGGGCACTGCCTGCTGGCAGCCCTCGCCCGGCACCAGCGCAGCCTCTTAGGCAGGCAAGATTGCACCACTGCACTCCAGCCTGCATGAAAGGATGAGACTCCATCTCAAAAAAAAAAAAAAAAGAAAATAAACCAGAATCAACAACAATAAAAAAAAGATTAGAGAAAAGCTGTTACTGCTAATAAGAGAATTTAGCAAAGTAGCTGGATAAAAAATCAACCAGTAGCATTTATTTCAACATCAGCAAAAAAATCAACTAGAAATATAACCCCCCCAAAAAATACTCTATCCATACTAACAAAACTAGAAATTAGCTTAGTCAAATATATATCTATACATATATATATGTATAGATACATGCACACACACAACACCTTTGTGAAGAAAAACTTAAAATTCTAATAATAAAGGACATAGGAAAGGATTTGAATAAAGAGGGAGAAATATCATCCTTTTGGGTAAAATCATGTCTAAGATGTCAATTTTCCTCAAGATAAGCTACAACAAATTGTATGCATTTCCAACTAGAATTTTAATTGGATTTTTAGAGAAACTTCATAAGTTTATTTTAAAATGTATCTAAAAGAATACTGAGCTAACCTTGGAAAGGAAAAATAAAAGAGAAAAATTTCCCTGCTAGATATTAAAACGTATCCAAAGTCATGGTAATACAAATAGTGAAGAATTGATAAATGTGAAAGAATAAAATTTCAATAACTTTAGTTTCAAAGATCTGATTGACTTTTTTTTTTTTGGAGACAGAGTCTCACTCTGTTGCCCAGGCTGGAGTACAGTGGTGCAATCTGGGTCACTGCAACTTCTGCCTCCTGGTTTCTAGCGATTCTCCTTTCTCAGCCTCCTGAGCAGCTGGGACTACAAGCACCTGCCACCACACCCGGCTAATTTTTGTATGTTTAGTAGACACAGGGTTTCACTATATTGGTCAGGCTGGTCTTGAACTCCTGACCTCGTGATCTGCCTGCCTCAGCCTTTCAGTGTTGGGATTACAGGTGTGAGCCACTGTGCCCAGCCCTGATTGGCTTTTATCACCAATTCATGAACTGGGCAGCATCCAGGCTACAAAACAGAAAGGAGCTCTGATGAGCTAAACAGAGTAGGTGAGTTTTATAGGCAGAAAAGCAGAGGAAAGTAGGAACAAGGAACAAAAGGTGGATTGGTCATTTCAAGGTTACTTTTCTTACAGGAACGTAAGTGAAAGCTTGCTGGCTTAATGGGATTTAGCTATCCTCTCTCTCCTTATTTCTCAGAAGGGCAGATCTTATAAGTAAACAACTTAGGTTTCAGTTTGGTGAAGTAGAGCGTTAGCATGAGTAATTTCATTTTGGACTTGCTGTCTTTTATTTAACATACAAGAACAACAAAGAAACTAACAAGACAGAAAAGAGAAGCTAGAGGCCAGGCGTGGTGCCTCACACTTGTAATCCCAGCACTTTGGGAGGCTGAGGTGGGCAGATCACCTGAGGTCAGGAGTTTGAGACCATCCTGGCCAAAATGGTGAAACCCTGTCTCTACTAAAAACACAAAAATTAGTTGGGCGTGGTGGCAGCTGCCTGTAATCCCAGCTACTAGGGAGGCTGAGGCAGGAGAATCACTTGAACCCAGGAGGTAGAGGTTGCAGTGAGCCAAGATTGCACCATTGCAGTCCAGCCTGGTCAACAGAACGAGACTCCATCTCAAAAAAGAAAAGAAAAGAAAAGCTAGAGACACATATGTGGGAGCTTAATACAGACTAACGGTGGCAGCACAGAAGACTAGGCCACTATCTGGATAGCTGGAAGACTAGGCCACTATCCAGAGAAACATAAAAAGGGATCTGGCTGGGCACAGTGGCTCAAGCCTGTAATCCCAGCACTTTGGCAGGCTGAGGTGGGCAGATCACCTGAGGTCAGGAGTTTGAGAATAGCTTGGCTAACATGGTGAAACCCCGTTTCTACAAATTTTTTTTGTATTTTCTAAAAATACAAAAAAATTAGGCAGCCGCTGCCGCGCCGCCATCGCTCTCCAACACCAGCACCACCTCTCGCTCGCCGAGCTCCAGCCGAAGGAGAAGGGAAGTAAGTAAGGAGGTCTCTATACCATGGCTCCTACAAAGCAGACTGCCCTCAAATCTGCCGGTGGTAAAGCACCCAGGAAGCAACTGGCTGCAAAAGCCGCTCGCAAGAGTGCGCCCTCTACTGGAGGGGTGAAGAAACCTCATCGTTACAGGCCTGGTACTGTGGCACTCCGTGAAATTAGACGTTATCAGAAGTCCACTGAACTTCTGATTCGCAAACTTCCCTTCCAGCGTCTGGTGCGAGAAATTGCTCAGGACTTTAAAACAGGTCTGCGCTTCCAGAGCGCAGCTATTGGTGCTTTGCAGGAGGCAAGTGAGGCCTATCTGGTTGGCCTTTTTGAAGACACCAACCTTTGTGCTATCCATGCCAAACGTGTAACAATTATGCCAAAAGACATCCAGCTAGCACGCCACATACGTGGGGAACGTGCTTAAGAATCCACTATGATGGGAAACATCTCATTCTAAAAAAAAAAAAATTCTCTTCTTCCTGTTATTGGTAGTTCTGAACGTTAGATAGTTTTTTTCCCATGGGGTCAAAAGGTACCTAAGTATATGATTGCGAGTGGAAAAACAGGGGACAGAAATCAGGTATTGGCAGTTTTTCCATTTTTATTTGTGTGTGAATTTTTAATATAAATGTGGAGACATAAAGCATTAATGCAAGTTAAAATGCTTCAGTGAACAAGTTTCAGCGGTTCAACTTTATAATAACTATAAATAAACCTGTTAAATTTTTCTGGAAAAAAAAAATTAGACAGGTGTGGTGGCTACTCAGGAGGCTGAGGCAGGAGAATCGCTTGAACCCGAGAGGTGGAGGTTGCAGTGAGCCCAGATCATGCCATTATACTCCAGCTTGGGCAACAAGAGCAAAACTCCATCTCAAAAAAAAAAAAAAAACCAAAAAACAAAAAACAAAACTGAATCCTACCCAGCACTATGTACAAGAAGAAACCAGATGGATTAAAAACTTAAATGTAGGAAAAAATAAAGAATAATATTTTGGGCTGGATGTGGTGGCTTATGCCTGTAATCTCAACACTTTGGGAGGCCAAGGCAGGTGGATCACTTGAGCTCTTGAGACCAGTCTGTGTGACATGGCAAAACCCTATCTCTACAAAAGATATAAAAGTTGGCTGGTTAGGTACGAGTTGACAGACAATAACAAAATTAAAAAAAAAGAAGTCAGCATGGTGGCTCTTGCCTGTAATCCCAACACTTTGGAAGGCTGAGCAGGTGGATCACCTGAGGTCAAGAGTTCAAGATCAGCCTGGCCAACTTGGTGAAACTCCATCTCTTTTTGTATTTTGTAAAAGTACAAAAAAAAAAAAAAAAAAATAGCCGGGCATGGTGTCAGGCACCTGTAATCCCAGCTACTCAGGAGGCTGAGGTAGGAGAATTGCTAGAACCCTGGGGTCGGAGGTTGCAGTGAGCCAAGATCGCACCACTGCACTCCAGCCTGGGTGACAGAGCGAGACTCCGTCTCAAAAAAAAAAAAAAAAAAATTAGCCAGGCATGATGGCATGTGCCTGTAGTGCCTGTAAGTCCCATCTACTAAGGAGGTCGAGATAGGGGACTGCTTGAACCCAGGAGGCTGAAGCTACAGTGAGCCATGATCATGCTACTGCATTCCAGTCTGGGCAACAGAGTAGGCTCTATCTCAAAAAACAAAAAGGATTAATATTTTTATCACCTAAAAGAGATCTTAACCAGAAATGCAAAAGTACAGATCATAAGAAAAGGAAACATAACTGAGCTGGGCGCGGTGGCTCACACCTGTAATCCCAGCACCTTGGAAGGCCGAAGTGGACGGATTGCCTGAGGTCAGGGGCTTGACACCAGCCTGGCTAACACAGTAAAACCTCATCTCTAATAAAAATACAAAAAGTTAGCCAGGTGTTGTGGTGGGCACCTGTAATCCCAGCTACTTGGGAGGCTGTGGCAGGAGAATTGCTTGAACCTGGGAGGCGGAGGTTGCAGCGAGCTGAGATCTGGCCACTGCACTCCAGCCTGGGTGAAAGAGCAAGTCTCCGTCTCAAAGAAAAGAAAGAAAGAGAGAGAGAGAAGAAAGAAAGAAGAAAAGAAGAAAGAAAGAAAGAAAGAAAGAAGAAAGAAAGAAAGAAAGAAAAGAAAGAAAGAAAAAAGAAACATTACTGAATTTACTTTATCAATATTAAGGATTTCTGTTCAATGTAGATACTTTGGACAAGATACTCGATGCTGGGGAGGGCAAAGTGAAATGTTTAAAACTAATGAGGAACAACTGGACTTGGTGGTGCACACCTGTAATCTCAGCCACTTGAAAGGCTGAGGCAGGCATATTGCTTGAACCCAGGAGTTCAAGGCTGCAGTGAGCGGTGATTGTGTCATTGCACTCCAGCCTGGGTGACAGATCAAGACCCAAAAAGCCATCTACTGTATGAATCCATTTATATAAAATGTCTAGAAGGCAAAATGGTAGAGACAGACAGTAAATTAGTGGTTTCCAGGGTTGGGGAGAGGGAAGTAGAGGGTGCATGACTTATTTTGGAGATGACGGGGAAAATGTTCTAAATTAAGTTATGGTGACGGTTGCACGACTCTGTAAATAAACTTTAAAAACCCAATGAGCTGTATATTTTAAAAGGGTGAAGGCCACACAGGGTGGCTCACACCTGTAATCCCAGCACTTCTGGAACCTGAGGCAGGAGGAATGCTTGAGCCCAGGAATTTGAAACGAGCTAGGCCACATAGTAAGACTCTGTCTCTAAAAAAGATAAAAAAAATATATATATATATTTTTTTTAGAAAGGGTAAATTGTATGGTATAAGAATTACATCTCAGGTTAGGCACAGTGGCTCACACCTGTAATCCCAGCACTTTGGGACCCCAAGGTGGCCAGATCACAAGGTCAAGGGATTCAGACCATCCTCACCAACATGATGAAACCAGGTCTCTACCAAAAATACAAAAAGAATTAACTGGGCATAGGGGCGCGTGCCTGTAGTCTCAGTTACTTGGGAGGCTGAGGCAGGAGAATCACTTGAACCTGGGAGGTGGAGGTTGTAGTGAGCCAAGATCACACCACTGCACTCCAGCCTAGTGACAGAGTGAGACACTATCTCAAAAAATATATATATATATATATATATATATATATATATATATATATATATTTAAACGGACCAGAGATTAATATCTAGAAGCTCCAGCCAATTAACCAAACAAGAACAACTCCAATGGGAAAATCAGCAAAGGATATAAACAGGCAATCTATAGACAAGAAAACCAAAACTGTTTATCAGCATATGGAGACACTCAAACTCATTAGCGATTAGTGACATGCAAAATTAAAATGAGATCCACTTCAGGCTGGGCACGGTGGCTCACACCTGTAATCCCAGCACTTTGGGAGGCCAAGGCAGGCGGATCAAGAGATCGAGATCATCCTGGCCAACATTGTGAAACCTCATCTCTACTAAAACTACAAAAAAAAAATAGCTGTGTGTGGTGGCGCCCGCCTGTAGTCCCAGCTACTTGGGAGGCTGAGGCAGAAGAATCACTTGAACCTGGGAGGCAGAGGAACCTGGGAGGTAAGATCGCACCACTGCACTCCAGTCTGGTGACAAGAGTGAGACTGTCTCAAAAAAAAAAGAAGAAGAAGAAGAAGGTGGGTAAAGCAAGGATGAAGGAGGATGTTTGCTGTGGAACGCTTTACAGCAGTTAGAAATGCCAGAAGTGTGAACACAGGGCAGCAAAAGGATCGTTTTTTGTTTTTTTTTTTTTTTTACCATTTATCCTCAAGTTCTGTGGGATGGATCTTAAAGATGAAGTACTTGGCCAGGTGCAGCGGTTCATGCTTGTAATCCCAGCAAATTGGGAGGCTGAGGCAGGAGGATCACTTGGGGCCAGAAGTTCAAGACCAGCTTGAGCAACAGAGTGAGACTTCTATCTCTAAAATTTAAAAAAGTTAAAAAAAAATACAGCACTGAGTGAAAAAGATAAATGATACTTATTTATTTATTTTATTTTATTTTTGAGACAGAGTCTTGCTCTATTGCCAGGCTGGAGTGCAGTGGCACAATCTCAGCTCACTGCAACCTCCGCCTCCTGGGTTCAAGCGATTCTCCTCCCTCAGCCTCCCAGGTAGCTGGGACTATAGGTGGCACCACCATGTCCAGCTAATATTTTTTGTATTTTTAGTAGAGACAGAGTTTCACCATGTTGGCCAGGATGGTCTCAATCTCTTGACCTTGTGATCCGCCCACTTTGGCCTCCCAAAGGGATTACAGGAATGAGCCACCTCACCTGGCCTATTTATTTTTTGAGACAAGATCTCATTTTGTTGCCCAGGCTGGAGTGCAGTGACTCAATCATAGCTCACTGTAACCTCCAACTCCTGGGCTCAATCAAGCCATCCCTCAGCCTCAGCCTCCTGAGTAGCGGGGACTACAGAAGTGCTACCATCCCTGGCTAGTTTGTAAAATATTTTGTAGAGATGAAGTCTTGCTATGTTGCCAAGGTTTGCCTTGAACTGGCCTCAAGTGGTCTGTCTGCCTCAGTTTCCCAACAGGCATGAGCCACTGAATCAACACACTTATATCTAAAAAAAACTGTAGCATCCTGTTGTGTGCGTTTCCTTTTCTTCTTGTCTTCTTACTCTATTCTCCACACCCTTCACACATAAGTAGAAAATTTTGGCTGGGTGTGGTGGCATGCACCTGTAATCCCAGCTACTTGGGAGCCTGAGGCAGGAGATTTGCTTGAACCTAGGAGGCAGAGGTTGCAGTGAGCTGAGATCACACCATTGCACTCCAGCCTGGGCAACAAGAGCAAAACTCCATCTCAAAAAAAAGAAAATTTATTTTATTTATTAATGTTATATTTTTAGTAGAGACGGGGTTTCTCCATGTTGGTCAGGCTGGTCTCAAACTCCCAACCTCGGCTGCATGCTAGGATTACAGGCATGAGCCACCTCGACCGGCCATTTATTTTATTTTCAAGACCAGATCTTTTGAGGTGGCCTAGGCTGGAGTGCAGTGGTGTGATTATAGCCCAGTGCAGCCTCAATCTCCTGGGCTCAGGCAATGCTCTCCTCTCAACCTCCTGAGTAGCTGGGACCACGCCTGGCTAATTTTTTATTTATTTATTTTTTTTCTGGTTCATGTTTTCTGATGAAGTTACAAGTGTTTTGATTTTTAATAGACATGAGGTCTCACTATGTTGCCCAGTCTGGTCTCAAACTCTTGGAGTAAGTGATCCTCCTACCTGTCCTCTCTGCATGCTAGGATTACATGCATAAGCCACCTTGCCCAGCCAGAAAATTTATTTAAGAAAAAATACCACATAATTTAAGCTATCTTGTAAATATAGCTAAGTTAAAATGTCTATGCCACAATTCAAACTGGCAGAACTCACTGGAACTGAAATAAGATTGTGGCTAAGCAAAGGCTAGTACACTGATACCAAACAGTGACATCCAACAGTGCCCACCTTCTAGAACTTAAACTCATGGGGGGAGGGATTTTTGTGTGTTTTTTTTTGTTGTTGTTGTTCACTGATGATCCCAAGCATCTTAGAACAGTATCCAGCTTATCTGGCACATATTAGATGTGCGAGAAAAAAGTCTGCTTAGGTCTGCAAAGTCAGCTTGATTAAAATAATAGTAATAACATACAGGCCGGGCGCAGTGGCTCAGGCCTGTAATCCCAGCACTTTGAAAGGCCAAGGCCGGTGGACCACAAGATCAGGAGTTCAAGACCAGCCTGGCCAAGAGACTAGCCTGGTCAATATAATGAAACCTCATCTTTACTGAAAATCCAAAAATTAGCCGGGCATGGTGGCAGGTGCCTGTAATCTCACCTACTCCAGGCAGAAGAATCACTTGAACCCGGGAGATGGAGGTTGCAGCGAGCCGAGATTGTGCCGTGGCATTCCAGCCTGGGCGACAGAGTGAGACTCAGACTCAAAAAAAACAAACCAAACCCAACCAAAACAAAACAAACACTGGCATACGTTAAATCATTTTGCAAATGCCTCCAAGAAAAAAGAATACTGAACAGGTTCCTACTAATCTATACATTCATTGAATAGTGTATAAAGCTGCTACAGTTTATCAGTTGAATACTGAAATGGTACAAAGATATGGATTCGTTCCATACAAGGAAATGAGATGGAAGTTATGGGAAAAGATTGCAAGATAGTGTGTACACACAAAGGACAAGTATGTAAGATGTGTAGGTGTCACTCCATGGAGATGATGGTGAAGGGCACCCAGGACCCTGAGAGTGGCAGGAGAGATAAGATTAATCACCAGCAAACCCATTCAGCTCAAGCTATCTCTAAGGGTGTGGAGGAGGAGACCTTGACATGATTAGGGCATTGTCTTTGATGTAATTTGGAAGGCTGCAATGTAGATAATGTTATCGGAACATATGCCCACATACAGTATGAACAGACTGTCACGTAGCTTCCTGACTCCAGCTACTGGGATCAATCAATGCCCCTTTTTTGAATTCTGTGATATGATTAGATTTTCTACATCCTTTCTCATGGGGAAAAGATGTGTGATCAACTTGCAGAATAGTCTTATTTACTTGCCAGATACACTTCTCATCGAAAATTGGCATGCTGGTTAATAACAGCTTGGAAGTTACATAAATGTCCAACAATAGGGAATCAGTTAAGAACAAAATTCATCACAGTACATATATATAATATAGGACTTTGCAACCATTTAAAAACTATGTAAAAGAAGCTGGGTGGAGTGCTGGATGCCTGTAGTCTCAGCTACTTGGGAGGCTGAGGTGGCAGGATCACTTGAACCCAGGAGTTCAAGACCAGCCTGGGCAGACACATGGCAAGACCACATCTCTAATTTAAAAAATAATAGTAGCAATGTAAAAGAGCAGAACGTGCCATGGGAAGATAGAAGACACTTTAAAAATCAGGTTAGCTAATATCACTGACTTTTTGCAAATAGGGTGGTTTGAGCCTTAGGGCCAGGTCTGTCTTACCTGTGGTGATCCCCCTTGCAAAGCCAACCTGAGAGGCTGGCAGGCTCTCCTTCAAGGCTTTTCCATTCCATGCCAGCATGAACAACAGGCAACAAAGACAGGAAGGGAATTTTAGAGCTGAGTTCACAAACTCAGACATTTTTAGGCACCAGGAGGAAATGGTAAACTGAGTGGAGCAACTGGGAAAGAGACAGAGGGAGCGCCGGTCGCAGTGACTCACGCCTGTAATCCCAGCACTTTGGGAGGCTGAGGCAGACAAATCACCTGAGGTCGAGAGTTTGAGACCAGCCTGACCAACATGGAGAAACTCCATCTCTTACTAAAAATACAAAATTAGCCGGGCATGGTGGTGCATGCTTGTAATCTCAGCTATTTGGGAGGCTGAGGCAGGAGAATCACTTGAACCTGGGAAGTGGAGGTTTTGGTGAGCCAAGATTGCAGCATTGCACTCCATCCTGGCAGCAAGAGTGAAACTCTGTCTCAAAAAAAAAAAAAAGAAAAGAAAAGACAAAGGGAGTCTACAAACCTGAGCAGCACCGTACTGGATACCGTAGGCAGTTGTAACACAATGGTATTTGTGTATCTAAACATAGAAAAGGTACAGTAAAAATGTGGCATAAAGGATTAAAAAATGGTACACCTATATAGGCCACTTAACATGAATGGAGCTTGCAGGACTAGAATTTGCTGTGGGTGAGTCATTCAGTGAGTGGTGAGTGAATGTGAAGGCCTAGGACATTACTGTACCCTAGTGCAGACTTTATGAACAGTGTACACTTAGGCTAACTTTATGAAGAACGTCAGCAGCCAGGTGCCGTGACATGCACCTGTAGTCCCAGCTACTCCAGAGGCTGAGGGAGGCTGAGGCAGTAGGATTGCTTGAGCCAAGGATTTCTGGACTGTATCCTGATCTGGTGTCAGCACTAAGTTCAGCATTCATATAGTGACCTCCCAAGAGCAGGGGACCATTTGCTTGTCTAAGAAGGGATGAACTGGCCCAGGCAGTAAACAGAGCTGGTCAAAACTCCCATGCTGATCAGTAGTGGGATCACATCTGTGAACCACTGCACTCCAGACTAGGCAACATAGTGAAACCCCATCTCTTAAAAAAGAATAGACTGGCCATCGTGGTTCATGCCGGCCACCCCAGTGCTTTGGAAGGCCAAGGTGGGAGAATTACTTGAGGCTGGGATTTTAAGACTAGCTTGGGCAACATAGGGAGACACCCACTGCTACAAAAAAATTAAAAATAAACCAGGCACGGTGGCTCACGCCTGTAATCCCAGCACTTTGGGAGGCCAAGGTGGGTGGATCACCTGAGGTCAAGAGTTTGAGACCAGCCTGGCCAAAATGGTGAAACACCATCTCTAATGAAAATACAAAAATTAGGCAGGTGAGGTGACGTGCGCCTGTAATCCCAGCTACTCAGGAGGCTGAGGCAGGAGAATCATTTGAATCCGGGATGCACAGGTTGCAGTGAGCTGAGATCACACCACTGCACTCCAGCCTGGGTGACAGAGCAAGATCTCCATCTCAAAAAAAAAAAATTAGCCAGGCATAGTGGCATGTGTCTGTAATCCTATCTATCTCTGAGTCTGAGGTGGGAGGATCACTTGAGCCCACGAGTTCAAGGCTGCAGTGAGCTGTGATCACGCCACTGCACTCCAGCCTGGGCAACAGAGCAAGACCCCATCTCTAAAAAATTAATAATTAAGGAGAGGGCACAGTGGTTCATGCCTGTAATCGCAAGACTTTGGGAGGTCAAGGCAGGTAGATCACTTGAGGCCAGGAGTTCAAAACCAGCCCGGCCAAAATGGTGAAACCCCGTCCCTTCAAAAAAATTTAAAAAATAAAAAAATAGCCAGGCATGGTGGCGTACGCCTGTAATCCCAGTTACACAGGAGGCTGAGGCATGAAAAACCCTTGAATCTGGGAAGCAGAGGTTGTGAGCCAAGATCATACCACTGTACTCCAGCCTGAGTAACAGAGCGAGACTCTATCTCAAAAAATAATAATAAATAATAATAAAATAATAAAATTAAGTCATCATGACACGATGTTACCACAGACAACACATCACTAGGCCACAGGAATTTTTTCTCTCCACGATAATCTCATGGGATTACCATCAATGTGGTCTCTCATTGACCAAAACACTGTTACTCAGCGCATGACCGTACCTCAGTTTAACTTACTTCAAGACCCTGGGGTGGGGCGTGGTGGCTCATGCGTGTAATCCCAGCACTTTGGAAGGCTGAGGCCGGTGGTTCACCTGAGGTCAGGAGTTCAAGACCAGCCTTACCAACATGGAGAAACCCTGTCTCTACTAAACATACAAAAAAATTAGCTGGGCGTGGTGGCAGGTGCCTGTAGTGCCAGCTACTTGGGGGGCTGAGGCAGGAGAATCACTTGAACCCGGGAGGTGGAGGTTGTGGCGAGCCGAGATCACTCCACTGCACTCCAGCCTGGGCAACAAGAGCAAAACTCTGTCTCAAAAAAAAAACATACCTTCACCTGGCCTAACAACCCACATCGACCTTGAAGCTGCCCTGATTCCTGATTTTTGTCTTAAAGGAGTCAGAAATAAAATACAAGTTAAAGTGACAAGAACTCTCCAGGAGGTTGCACAGGACAGCCCGCTCCATGCTCCATCTTCTTCAGGGTGTTTACAACTGGGATTCATCTATTTCTCATCATTCCTTTGGACAGGAGGCAATTAAAATATATGGTTTCACCCTCACATAGCATCAGAGGCCACAGTAATGACAGAAGCCAATTATACAACCAATCTGTGGTGCAAAGGGCTTCCTGGGCTGCACAGTTGAGGGGCCCTGGAGGTATATTAGTGGGTCTGGTGAAGTCTGGGAGAGAATGACTGGAGAGGGGGCAAATGAAGTCTGTCCTAGAATTCCAGTGACCACATGGCTGATTGCTCCAATGGAGCGACTTCTGAGAATGAAAGGGAATGATATTAATAAGTACAATTGGGTAGACCAAGCACAGTAGCTCATGCCTGTAATCCCAGAACTTTGGGTAGCTGAGGTGGGTGGATCATGAGGTCAGGAGTTCAAGACCAGCCTGGCCAAGATCGTGAAACTCTGTCTCTACTAAAAATACAAATTAGCCGGGCACGGTGGCAGGCACCTGTAATCCCAGCTACTTGGGAGGTGAGGCAGAGAATTACTTGAACCCAGGAGGCAACAGAGGTTGCAGTGAGCCAAGATTGTGCCATTGCACTCCAGCCTGGGCAACAGAGTGAGACTCCATCTCAAAAAAAAAGAGAGAGAAAAAACAAGAAAACAATAATTACACTTGGGTACACATAGGCACAGAGAATATAAACATAATTACACTGGGACATTGGGTCTTAACTGGCATTGTCCCCACACAAATTGGGACATATGTACACCCTAGTTAAATGAAAGTGTACCCAAATGTAGGGCTATTGGGCCCCACAGGGTTGTGCGGTGTCCCTTATGCTGTGCTGAGGTGTGGGATCCAAGAAGTAAAGAGACAGGACATTGAAGAGCTGGTGAAGAGCAGCTGGACTCGGGGGGCCACGCCACCTGTGAGTGGAGACGGGCAAGGCCCCAAATGCCCAGAAGCATCTGTATCTATTAGGTACAAGCAGGGGGCAGGGTTGTGAGTGAGGTCATCATCTATAGGCTTAGTGATAGGACATACATAATCAAGTGAGTCACAAGTGAGGGAGCCACCCTATTATGTCAACTGGGCAGAGAGGTGGGTCGTGCACAGCAGGAGGCTGTGTCATTCGTAGTAGTAGAGGGTCGTATACAGAAAAGGGGTCCACCCCCATTAGGTCACCAAGGCAAGGACATAGGCTGTGTGCAACAGGTGTCGTGCGCAACGCTTCTTATCTGGGGGCTGGAGACTTCAAAGGATTTCTAATAGAAGGATACTGTAAGCCAATGCAGTGGGAGCTGACAGACTTGTGCTCTTCTCTTAAGATATGTATAGGAGGATTCTTTGAGCTAGCACAGAATCGAGAAAAGACTGACAGGGTGTGCAGCTGCTGTGACTGGTCTTACCAGAGGGGTTCTTCTTCCTCTGTTATTTCCAGGATCTCAGGCCTGAGGCCTACTTTCCACAGGAACTGGATGCAAGGTTCTACAACTCCTTTATCAGGATGAGAGGTGCTTGTTCCAAGCCTGCCATACAGCATATGCCCTTTCAGGCAGGGATGCCACTGCCTGGGTCTTTGGGTCTTGTCCTGGTCTGGCTGTTTTCCCATGTACTGCTTCTGTTCTGTGACTGCTCTAGGCATTCCTCCTACTACATAATACTATATGGTTATATGGAAGGATTCTATAAATCAGCACGAAATGTGTCAGTATAGCTCCAACTACAATACCTATAGATTATATAGAAAGATTATATAGAACTAAGTATGCTAGATATAAGCATTAAGTATGATTATATAAGCTAGATTTTTGTAGGCAGTAAGTTATATTTCAGGCACTAACTATGCCTGGGATCTGCACAGTTCTCCTTCCTCAGGGCCTATTGGGGTGTTACCCACACCCAAAGACTGGTGTAAATTCCAGAACTTCACCGGAAAACTATTTACTTATGTGGCAGAAAGAAATCTTCAAACCACCATATACTAGTAAATAACTCAGAAGACCTATCTCAAGGGCTTACTATACACAAAAGCCTAGAATTTCCCTCTCCGGAATCCTGGACAGAAAACAGGAGAGCCTCTCCAGCCAGGAAGAGGGCACTGGTTCCCAGAGACAGGGAAAAGCGTTAGAGAAGGAAATGGAGTAGAGATTAGCTCATCTCTGACTCACAGTCCCCTGGTCCCTCCTACAGGAGTGATACCACACCAGCTCCAGCTGGGGGAGCTGTCATCTGGGCAGCTCCACTCGGAATGAACTGGGCCTGGGACTGTCCCACCAGCCGGCTTCTGCTCTCCTTTCCCTGTGGGACTACAGAGGTTATTGGTTGGCCTTTGGTCCAGGAGCCACCTGTGTGACGGTGACAGAAGAGGCCGTGATTGCAGGTCTAAGGGCCACATGAGAGGCTGTGACCAGCTAAGACTCAGCTTATATTTGATGTATGTTTCACCTAACATGTATCCTCTAGATTCTTCAGGCAGAAAACATAACTCCATTGTATTCCTCTGTTCTTGGGAATTGAGAATTTGAAGTAGGATAGGCAAACCTCAGCATATTACATAAAATACACTCAGCTCAGCTGCTGTGTTTAAAATACACATTTTGACCTCGTGATCCACCCACCTCGGCCTCCCAAAGTGCTGGGATTACAGGTAGGCACCACCACGCTGGGGTAATTTTTGTATTTTAGTAGAGACAGGGTTTCACCATGTTGGCCAGGCTGGTTCCAAACTCCTGACCTCAAGTGATCTGTCTGCCTCAGCCTCCCAAAGAGCTGCGATTTACGGTGGTGAACCACCAAGCCCAGCCTGGATTTAGTTTTTAAACAGAATTTGATGGTCTAATGTTTAAGTTAACTTTATAAGCAATAAAGCCTTAACTGTTTACATGTCTGTTGGCTGAGGTTATTATTTTGCCTAGCAAACCCATAGAGAGAACTGCCCCA